GTCTATTATACATTATAATATGCGCTTGAAGTTCGTCCCGAGTTCTGTTTTAAGTAATTTATCCGTCTTTATACTGATTTATATAATTGTCAACGTATTGTTATTATTAGGGCCCGGATTTATATGCATTTGCATGCTTTTTCTGAACTGACCAAAAAATAGCTAGGTAAGCTTCAATTTTGATTTGTAATCAATAGATCTGATATTTAAAGTTTTATTTTGCATATTTTGTCATTTTTTGAAATGTATTGCATATTACTGTATTTTATGATTTTTTTATTGTAGGTACTCGTATATACACGGTTTTTAAATGCATAATATGTAATATTTTGCTTATTTTAATTAAAATAACGTTTTTATAGTTATATTTATAGTTCATGTAATTTAGCGAAATCGTTTTTTCTATCTTATCTGAGACCTATAGTAGTAATTTGTTATTAAGTAGGTTTAATCGAATCATACATTAGTTGTATTTATCATGATCTGAGTGCATCTAAATTTTATTCGATTTTATTTATTTATATTGAATGAAAATAAAAGATTTTTTTTTTATTTCTTATTTTATAGGATATATTTCTCTGAGGATTTTAGAGCGTATAAATCCAGACCCTATTTATTATACTTGAGTTAAAATCTTTTTCTTTTTCAAAAAATCGTCTCGATCACTCTAGGCAGTCTAGGCTCTAGCAGTTTAGCTGTTACATCCACGAGATTGTGTCTTTAACGGTTAACTGCAGTTTACATGTACTAATTTATATAAGGAAAAATAATAAATGGAATAAGTATAAAGGATTATGTACTTATTTCGTTTGTAGGATACGAATTATTTATAATAATATTTCTTTTTGTCCGTTTACAGGTGAAATAGGTCTGATGTATATGTATTTAAGAAAGCAGTTTGACTTCAGAGAAATCGATTATAGTTTATTTAATACGTATTCAATGGGAATCATGTTATTTGGTAAGAATTTCGTGGTTTTATATTTTTATAAAGGTTTAATATTAAAATAGAATAAATTTTAGGATCAATAGTTTCCCTTAAAATTTTGAGCCAAAAACTTAAAATGAACGATGCAATGATCGGTCTGATTGTTACGACATTCGATATTGCAACTGCTGTAGGATTTCTATCAGTCACTAAATTTCAATATTTATTATTTGGTAAGTAAATTTTTAATTACTGTAGTCTCCTACCCCACAAAAACTTTGACCTTGGTACAGTAAAAAAGATTGTTGACATTTTTTATGGAACACGAATTCATATACAGTAGACGCCGCTTATAAGACTCACTTTGGGACCAGCACAAAGTGAGTCTTATAACCGAATGAGTCTTATAGGCGAAGTGGAAAAAAAAAATAATTACGTATTTATAAATTTTATTTTACTACATATTTTGCTTTGATTTTAATACATTAACACATATTACATATTACATACTTTATTATTGAATAAATTTAATAATCCCGATAAAAAATTAAAATTATAATAGGTAAATATTACATATTACGATAACTTTGCAGCCGTCAGATAATCAGTACACTATAATAACAATAAAATTATCGTTGCGATAAATGTGAACTTTTATCTGCGATAAAAATTATTATACGTTATAAGATACCAACAGAAACTAGAAATAATCAACACGAATATTATTTAATTTTTCAATACCAATTTATTTCTAAATTATAACCAAAAAAGTTTATTTTCTACTATTTATTTTACGAAATTTGAGTCTTATAACCGAAGTGTTGAGTCTTAAAACCGATTTTTTTTTATGTATTTGGATACGTCCGGACCGTTCCAGACGATTTTGAGTCTAATAAGCGACTGAACCTTATATCCGTGAGTCTTATAAGCGGCGTCTACTGTATATTTTTATATTTTACTTTAACACAACAATTTTTGATAAATACATTTTAAAGCTTCAAGTATTTTATGCTAGACAAAGTTACATGATTTATATCTTATATTATATATTGAAGATATGATTAATTCTTATTTATTTATTTTGGATTAAGCTTGGTATTTATTGATGCTGTTATATTTTATATTCAATTAAAACATGCATTTCTAAGTATTGTATCAATACAAATTACAATAAAAATTATTATAACAATCGTGTAAAAAACAATTACGTAGTAGCTCTAATAGCTCTATTTGATTAAAATGTATAAAATTATATCGAATGGATTTTTTTCTAATGTATTTTTCTATGTAAATCTATGTTACTATTACTGGAAGTGTACGAAATATTCACAAAGTAACAGAATTATTTTTAAAAAAGATAGATAAGTAAGAAAATACCCTGTTTTAGAGTAATCAAGTGTACCTCATTATTGTGAAGTAAATCATTGTAATGTATGGTTAAATTTGAATTCAATGATAAAACATATAAAATCATTTTAATATTAAATAATTTATACAATATTATGTATAATTATTGTTAGGTAAATTATTTTAGTAACGTGCAGTTATAGTTGTTAATTTATAATTTTTACGCACCCTTTAAGAATTTGGTCTTAAGCCTTTGGACTGAATTAAATATTATACTTAGTCTGTATTCTTTTAAAAACTTTAAATAAAATAATAATACAGTTATAATTTTTAATGGTATAAGTACCGTTATTGTATTTATTACTTTATAATATTATTGTTTATACCTACTTATTAACACAATACAAAAATTAATCGATTTTTTTTATATTATAGTACCTCCTTTAGAACTATTTCGTGGTGCAGCATTAGCTCTCTCAGGTGCCATAGCTTCAAAATGTGTGAAACCGCATGAGTTAGGTAAGTACCTAATTAATTTATAAATAGCGTCTAATAAAATGTCTACTTATTACGCCTTAAAAACTTATGTTTAAAATCGTTAACCTAATTATAGTGTTTTATTATGGTTAAATATAATATAAGATGTTTTTTTTTTAAACACATGTCAAATTTTTTATATAAATAATAAATTATTTAGTTATGTTATACTTGTGTTTCTGTGTCTTAATAGGATCTATGAATTCCGTGAGAACGGCCATAGAAAATTTATCAAAAAGTGCAATTTTGCCATTATATAGTATAGTATATAACAAAACACTGGAATTTATGCCTAGTGCATTTTTCATCATTAGTATATGTTTAACCGCACCGTTAATCGTATGTTTTGGGTAAGTTTTGTATGACATATATGATTACTTAATATAATATATTATTATTGTCATTTAAATTTAAAAATAATCTTTTTCATGTTTTTGGATTACAGAATTACTTATTACTTGACCCGAAATCAAGAGAAATCGGTTAATTCTGATCTAGAAAAATAATTTGGAAGATACACTAATTAATGATACTAATATTACTACTAATACTAATGAGATAAAATCTGACAATGTTGAAAGACTTGTGCATATGAAAATCATTTATTTTAGGTATTTAAATATTATGTTTTTAGACGTATAGTATAAAAACACCATAAGTTGTTCAATCACCAGTTAGGGTAAAAAATATGCAAATATGCTTCTTAAATATTTGTGAATTATGAAAATGAATGTTAAATGTGAATATAATATTGATTAGATATTATAACAGATATTATGTTACATTTATAAAAATATTTTAATATAAGTGTTTGAACTATTTTTAATAAACTATATCTACAATTAAAATTGTATTAATTTTTTTATTAGTATAGCAGTCTTACACTCATACAGTCATACGTCTTATAAATATACATTATTATTGTCTTTTTGTTATTCATTTTTTTGTTTTATTTTTACGTTTTAATTTGTTCTCAAAATGTGTTTTTTTTTTTTTTATTAAGTAATATAATTTTGATTAGATATTTATAATGCTTATGATTAATTGTTACATAATATACTTAAAAAATAGTACTTTTATTTTTTAGTTATTTTTTAATAATATTATCGTGTAACACTGTAATTTGTTGGTCAATAAATTGACACTTAAAATGTTGTTGTTAAAAATTCTACTAAAAGTTTTTTTTAGTCTTGTAAGATCTTAGTGATTTATAATTAAAGTATTTGTTAAATAATGTATTTTCATATTCAGATAAAAATTATTATTTAATTTGATTCAATAATGATGACTCTTAATATTATACAGAAATCAATAAGTGTTAACATTTTAAAACAATCAATAAATGTATTTACCTAGTTAGGTCATTATTTTTTTTGCAATAACAAATAATTTTAAAGAATAAGATGCATTTCAGTAGGTATATATAGATAGAATAGCGTTTGGTGTTGCGTTAACTCGTAAAGTCCCAAGTGGTTTTCTGTTAACATAGTATTATCCAGGCATATTTAATACTTATAGATTATCAGCTACCTATAGTATAAATTAAAGTATATGTAAAAAGTAATATTATTATTAAACACGTTCATCCATAGCTATAGTAGGTGAAAACTAATCTATTATTATTATTACAAACAATAATGCACTGAATTCACTAGTTAAATTGGCTTTATACCTATTTACACGATAAGAATAAATATTAGTACCTACTGGCCGAGGTTAATATAAATAGAAGGTTTGATCGTATTAGATGGGGAATAAATATCAGGTGCGGGGTAAATAACAAAATTACGTCATAATAGTACGAAATTTGAAATATAATATGCTGCTATCTTGGAATTTATTATTTCTGATTTGTTTATCCAAATTACAGAAAATTACATCAATAAATTGAAATATGTTATTAGTATATTACAAAGAATGTGATTTGGTATTGTTATAATACTAAAATTAAATTAAATATCATATATTTTAAACTAATAATAAAGAATATACATGGTAGCGAAATTAAAAATGAATTAAAAACAATTGTTTTTCATATGAAATTTAAAAAAATACAAAATATATAATATAACAAATATAAATCGCCTAAATTTTTTGCAACAATTTACAAATTATTAAAAATCGTCCAAATTGTTTAGACTTATTTCTATGTTGTTTTTATAAAACAATATTGATAATGATAAAATGAACTAAACAAGATTATAAATAGAAAATCTATACATTTTTTTAGCCATTAGGGGATTTTACTGTTTAATATAATTTAAAAAAAACTCAAAATGCCTGGAATAAATCGTGCTGTTGCTGTATTTAAAAATAATAAATATAAATCGATAAAAGAAGGCAAAGATATATCATTTTTTACATTCTCCAAAGATGAAAGAAAAAAAATGTGGCTACTTAAATGTAAAAGAGCCGATCAATTTTTCCTGATACATCCTTTATATTATGTTTAGAACATTTTACAAAAGATGATTTTGAATTAAATTTTAAAATAGAATTGATAGGTGGGCCAACAAAAAAAAGACTTAAAAAGTTAAAAACTGTGGTAAGTTAAAAGTAATATTGATTGTACTAGCCACTGAAATTTGCTAAGTATGCAGTTCAAAATCTGATTTTAGAACTTCAAAATATTATACCTAAAAACAAAATTTTTCTTGAGGTTTTTTTTTTACAACTTAAAAAAGAGTAGTGTGTGCTATTATTTTTCAAATATCAATCTCCTTTTTTACTGTAATTTAGCATATATATTTTCTGAAAATATTGAAGTAGCAAAATCAAAATTCGAATGAGTAGTTCTTAAGTTAATTAACTTAATGTAGGCACCTACTAAAGTCTAAAAGTAATAGGTAAATTATTATAATACATGGTTTAAAATATTGAAATACGTAAAAATTTGTAAATATTTTTATCTGCCTTAAAAATTATAATATATTTTAATTATTAATTTTAACTTTAATTATACAACTATACAAGTTATAGCAAACACTTGGCAAATGGAATAATGTCTATTTTAATCAATGTTTTAAAATTTTTTTATATAAATTGTGATAAGACTTGTATTATTAGTACATTGTATAATTGTTTATTTTTTTATTCTAAAATTATTAAATTAATTTTTTTCTTTGTTATTAATTAATTTGAAACGTAATAACTTTTTCAAAATACACTTTTTGTATTTAAGTAAATATAAAATCCTTTTTATACGTTGAACTGGAATAATTTTTTATTTGCTAGGTATTTTTATGTTTTGTTACATCGGTATTTAACTTTATTTCTAGCAATACCGTCTATAAACTTAAGTATAAAAGAAGGATTGAAAAAATAGCATTATCTTCTCCAAATGTAATACTTTTAAGTTCGCATTATTTGCGTATGAAAAAAAAAGATCATAGTGAGCTAATAAGTTTGTTAAGTGAAGAAGGACCATCTGTACAACAGGTATTTAGTTACACAAATCTTAATATTAATAACTTTATTTAAAACATAAAATATACCTATTACAAAATATCAAATAACTTTAGGATTTACCAAATGAAAATATAATACAAACTGATATTAGTGTTACTGAAAACCTTGATATGTATTAATCCCAAAACAATTTGAATAAAAATTTATTAGCTACAAATCTTAAAAATGCTCAAAGACAAATTTAAGATCTTAAAAAAAAGTTGAATAACATGTCTTCAAATTATAAACAATCAAAAAATGAAAACAATATTTTAATAAAATCATTAAATAAATATATAAAACAAAAAAACAGGGGATGAAGTCAGATCTTTAGTATCTAATGTTTTGACTAAAAATCAATTGGACTTAATACTTAAAAAAAAAAATTATATAGTCAACTGATGAAATTTCTAAATCTTTTGTATTGAGGTATTTAAGTCAACGTGCCTACTTATATGTCCGTAACTCACTAAATTATCCATTGCCTGATTTATCATCATTACGTAGATAGGCTTCCAAAATAAATATGAAACAAGGAATTCTTAAAGATATCATCAAAGTAATGAATATTTCAAGCAATAATTCATCTTCTATAGAAAAACTTGTAGTATTAAAATTCGATGAAGTTAAAGTGATATACCAATATGAATATGACAAAGCTAATGATGTAGTTATGGGACTATATAATCAAATGCAAATAGTTTTAGTCCGTGGACTTGTTGCTAAATGGAAGCAGCCCGTATTTATAGATTTTGATAAAAATATGACTTGTTATCTGAAAGCTATTTATCTTTTTAGATATTAAAATAAGAGTTATTTGTAAAATTTATTGTAATTACTGGTGAAAATAATAACAATTATTGTGGAACTTAATTTTTTTTTGATATACCTTTTTTTTGTTGCTATTCACACGTTATTCATGAGATCGATATTTTTTTCTAAATGTTGTGAAAAGAATTGATTATTAGTTTTTATAAGCAAGCTAATATTTTTGTTTGTTCTTTTTTTTTTAACAGATAATTATAATTCATAATCTATCAGCTGGATCTCAGGATAGTTATTAATTTCATTATTATTCATATTTAAATGTCATATTTGATACACCATCAAAGAAAATGAATTTAAGAATTGTCGAATTCCGGTAATAATTTTTTCTCATATTATATTATTTTGTATAGCGATTATAACATAACTATATTAGTGCTTAAGCTTAAAAAACTAAAGTATTACTATACAAACATCTAAAACAATACCAATACTATCTTAATGAATTGTACCTATATATAATCAGCAAAGTAAATAGTAATAAATTTATATTAATTTATTATATGGGCATAATATAGCTATAAAAAGTATTAAATCCTTCAACATCGGTGTAATATTATAAGCGTTTATACCTATCTCCTTCGATCGCTTGGCGATGCAATTAGCATAAGACGTATACTTTTGAACGTTGCTGTTGTTTGTTTTATCAACAAGATTTTACCAACGACTTCTAATTTCATTACTTCATACGTGCAGGTTATAGATGTTTTGAAAATTTTATGATTATATTTTTCATTCCAACATTTCAAAATGTACAACCGTAAAATATAATATAATATTTCACGTTAAGGTAAATCTACTCGTAAATGGATTTACGACGCGTTTGAGTTCGTCTACACGACAGTACCTATTCAATCATTTTATTTGAAGCTATATAACAATATTATGACATCATATTGGTGTAATTATGTTATGATCTATGATTTAATTATAACAATTTCAACATTTTTTACAATATTGTATAATATACATACCTATATGCAGGGACGTATTTAAGAAGGGCCCACGGGGTCCTCTATTTACCGAATTTGATACATTTTTTTTATTATTGGGAGTATTAACCTCTTGGGCAACTGGCAACATTTATTATCTGATTTAATAACCTTATATTTTTGCTTTCTATGCTTCTGGCCTGCTTGATTTTTATTTCTTTTTTTATTTTTTGGTACCTAGTTTACATATTTGATAATATTTTAAACAATGTAAGCCTCTCCCCCTCTACAAACAATTCTGTATACATCCCTGCCTATATATAGCTAAATAAAATATTTTAGGTTCAGAATAATCAATACTTGTTGTTATAGTTTATAATTATAAAATAATATGTATATTGTGCTTTATATTTTAAATATTTTTATACATTATACAGATATAAGAAAAACTTATAAGTTATATCGCAGGGCTCGGAACTTATAGCACTTAAAATCATTAAAATAAGCGCTTAAAAACATCATTATAAACATTCAAATAAGTAATTAAAAAACTTAAATTTGTGCAAAAATATTTGATAAAAAAAAAATTTTCTTTTTACATGATAAAGTAGGTACCTACTAGACATAATTTGTAACTGTGTTAAAAATAATTTAATTTAAGATTATAAAAAATATCGAAAAAAAATGATTAGGAAAACTTTCCAACTAATAAATCAAAAAAATAAATAAATCTTTATATTTAAAAAAATCAAATTTCACTTTCGAGACATTTTGCCTTATTATTGTTTATATTATCATAAAAAAAATTGCAGGAAAAAACCATAAAAAGTAGAAAAACTGGTCAAAAAACAAAAATAATCAAAAAAAAAAAACTGAAAATAAACATTTTTTTGAAAAATCGTTGGAAAAAGCCAAAAAAAGCACTTTCAAATTTCATAATTGAACATGTTGTTACATAACACACACTTTCAAACCACTCTGCTACATTTTAAGTCAATCCATAAAAATAAGCAAATGCTTTAAGTCTCGAGCCCTGGAACGAATCTTGAATTAAATTTTTAAGACATTAGACTCAGAGAATAATATTTTTATCAATGTTTGTAAAAAAAATTAAAAAATAAATAGAAAATTTAAAATGTCTATAAATTACTTAGAAAGACTCAAAATATTTTCGGAAACTTTATCATGATAAAAAATGATCACATCAAAATTTAATGAAAATTTCAAGTATCTACGTCATTTATTTTCAAGTTGTAAGTATTAAAAAACAAAATCGATTTTGATAAAAACGTGATTTGTTTAAAAATTCCAGTTTTTCCTTAATATTTTTTCGTTTTTCCGGTTATTTTGAAAAACACCGGGAATTTGTAATTTTGATGTCTTCAAAGTGAAAACTAAATTTCATTTTCTATCCAAAACCAATCAAAACATTTTTCAACAAGTACCTAGTACTTATCGTATATATTGATAACAAAATCACATAATTTTTAAATTAATAGGTACATTCATCATTCTGCTCTAAAAAATTTAATTTATATACACACATATCTACATTGTATTATTATTTTAATATAATTAATAGCTTACAAAAAATATAACCTTAGAAACCAAGAAGATAATCGAGTAACCTGCAAACGTGATAATATGTTTTACATATTTGCATTTTTAATATTATATTTTTTTGAAAATACTCATATTTTATATATATTATAATTATATTACTCGAAATAAATATTTGACTAAATATTAGTTATTTCAGTTCCTTTTGTTTTTCTGAAATTTAAATCGTACTTTCCATAGCATTACAATTAGAATCATCACCTTTAGAACTTATTGTTATTATTTATACAAACAATGTATTCTACGTCGTACAATAATAATAGGGAATAATATTACTAAAATATTTGTGTACAATAAAACTGGATAAAACGCTGAAAGTAGTTAGCAGTGTAAGTTCAATGAATAAAAAGTAAAATACAATGATGAATGAACGAATAGTCAGAACACTTAGAACATTCAAAACAACTATAAGATCTCGACGATGACGGTCTAGTCGGTCTACAATAATTCAGTAGGATGCCAGGATGACGTCAATGCTATATACTTCTCCTACTCCTGTTTTTTGTTTTATAAAACTAGGAGTTTTACATTGAGACAACCGATATAATCTATAAATCTTGATTATGATGGCTCAGCAGTCAGCAGTCAACATAATGCTAACCATAGACATAAATACATAATATAAATAAAAATAATATAAATTTCATATTACGTAACATGGCGCTAATGTCTACTAAATATTATTATGTTTATAATCAGAAATATACAATCAGCAAATATTTTATTGTATAGATTAACTATAAAATAATTTGAATTTTATAATTATACTTCAACACGTAATTTATATCGACGGTAAAAATTAAAAAACACGCGTGCAACTCGATTCCACTGATTGCAGACAGCCACATCGTGGCGGAAATCATTTCAATCACATCGAATAATATTCACGTTTTGGTTCTGTAATCGATTGTAGCACAATTATTATTGGTCAACGTCGCGGCTAGCCTGTAGCTAGCCCGTAGTTAGCACGACTACAACAGCTGTGCTGATCAACTACCTAACGTCGTGATGTGATAACAGTCAGTGAACGTTGCCTAAATCGAGTTATATTAATTATATTTCTATTACTGCTATTTATTATTATTATTTGTATTATCATTTATTTATTATTATTCGCATAATCGACAACGGTGTTGCTCGTCTTGTTGTTTTCCTCGATTTACGTTACAACATTATTACTTCTCACCCGGCGGGGGGGCCCGTCCATCGTTGTTATCGCCGCTGTCCGTTGTTTTTGTTCCGTGTAGTGTACCGAGCGTACACACTATGCTGTAGTAATCCCGTTGTCCCACAGTATCGCGTACAGTTTTCCTCTGGTTGTCAGAAATGTTCACATAATTACACGTCGCTTTTCTGTCCGTACTAAGTTTTTTCATTACGAGTTTCGATATATTGGTGCGTGCGTCGAGCGCTGGTTTCAGTGATTCGAGCTGCAACTCAAGGTCAGTTTATCGTAAACAATTGTATGAGATCTATGGTGTTTAACAATCAATAATATTTATTTATGTCATATACGGCTACCGTAACGCATTTTGACAATATTTAGCCCATCATTTTGATGCGCACGTAGTGATGGACTGCGATCTTCACCGATGAACGCTCGTCAAAATGTCAAACGTTGTTGTTGACATTGTTTATAGTATTACCATTAAAAGCTAATTGTTATTGTTATCAGCTACAGAAATACTGGTCTTAGTTTTGCTCGTCACCATTAACGTTTTAGTGTCAATTTTTAACAACATTTGTTTTTACTTTTTTTTTTCGCAGATCATGATTTACGCCGAAGGTCAGATTTATTTCAACTGTCAGTTACACGTTGTATGGCCAGATTTACTGTAACAGTTTGCCAGAAAATAAGTAAATAAACGGGGAGGTCTTAAAACATATTGTATAATATTGTATAATATAGATCTATTGGTCTATGAAATGTTAATTCTATATAAATGATTAGTAGGTATTTTTGTTTCACACGTATTATTGCCAATGATAGTAGAATAGAATAATGATAACAATATGTTTTATTTGGTTAATCTATTGTTAACTTATAAAAAAAAAAATAACCGTGTATTAAAAGCTTATACTAAGAACATTATCAGAGTTGAAATCCAGTCTTTTGTGTAGCATGTTTTAGTTGATTTAATTTTTCCAGTATGTAAACATTAAAATGTACATTTAACAATGCTTTTTTTATATAAAATTAGGTAATACGATAACATGTTAAGTTTGTGCACAAATAAGAGTGTTGACCCGGGGTGACCAACATGAATAGGTTCACGAATTACATACAAATATAATACCAAGAGCCGAAATGTTAATAGATACATTTTATATAATTTGATAATCTTTATAATATAATATTAAAAAAATTAAAATTTATAATATTAAGTATTGAGTAGTATCTGACAGTAACAAGAACCACATGTGTCTCGCGAGCCACAAGTTGGCCACCTATAGTGTAGGCTATAACTGTTGAGTATTATTAATCATTTTAAATTAATTATTATTAGATAATTTAATTTTCGTGTGCCTGATACATTAGAGTTAAGTGGTTAGGGTAGGTGCCATATTATGTATCTATAAAAAATAGAAAATTTTATTTTATTTATCTATTTTAATTTAATTTAATTTTAATTTTAATTTTAAGTTTATTATTATAATAATAAGAACTAATATGAATACCAACTAAACCAAGCTTGTATCTAGTTGATTTTGAACAAAACATAAAATGCTTGTAAAAAAAGTAATTATTATGTATTTTTATACATCTTTTAATAAAATTAGGCAAAAATTGTTTGGAAGTACACTTAATGTTTTTTTATAACATTAAATTTCAAAACATTTTGTTTTGATAAAAACTAATAACCTAAAAAAAATACAACTATAGCTTAGATACCAGGTTTCAATAATTAAGAGATGAATAAAGAAGTTGACAAACTGGCTATAAAAACAGCAATTAACTTAAAATTTCATGCACTTTGGACATTATAAAGGTTATTACTTATTAGTGTCAAATTTTACAAAATTTGTATGTAAAAAAAAACACCAAGCTTAGTAAAATGCATAATATTGTTGAATCACAAATATTTAAATAGAAGAAATATTTTTTTAATTTTAAGTCATGTAAAAACTTATATACAAGCACTAGTACTTTATGAAAAAAAGAAGATTCAATCAAATGTACAGTTAGTAGATTACAATTATCTGTCTATTCTTATAGAATGTTGGCAAATAAAAATTACCAAAAATTTAAACACTATTACCAAGTTTAAGTTCAAAAGTTAATATGACAAAATGAGAATACGAGCATACAATTTTAAAAAAAATTAACATTTACAACTTATTATAATGCCATATATAATACATATTAAAAACCAACACTACTATAGTTATTATGATTTTAGTATTTCTATTTGTTCTTAAATTATGTATGAAAAAACTCGATCCCTATTCAACAAATCACTTAATACATAATCTTAGACAAAATATGGGCAGAACATGCCAAGACAAATAAAATCAATTCAAACTATGTCGACTATGTTCATTATTAAAATCCAAAATGAACCTTAAACACAAAATACTATTATATTTAACAATAAAAATATAAGGTCAGTTAAGAGTTACAATAATATGAGAAACAAATTGCATTACACTTATGCTCAATTGAAACATTCTAATTAATCTACTAGTAGATAACTGCAACTTCACGGTATGTTACAAATATACATTTACTCAAACATTTGAAAATTCAAATAGTCTATAAACTTACCTAATTTTTCTATAAAATATTCCATGAATGACTTTTCAGAATTAAAATGATTCTTAGAGACCATATATGAAACTAAAATAAATAATAACCTACTAAGAGTTACTCTTTTTAGATAGTTTCCTCATCATTAAAAATGTATAGGCATTCTAAAATATATTTTCTTTATTCTATGTAGTTTACTGATTCTTATACTAAGAAAGAAGTTTCATTATTATTTCATTATATAATTGTATAAAACAAAAAAAATTAACCATCGGTCATAATAAATAAATATGTATTTGTGATGAGTTTAATATTATCGTTCTATATACCTACTGTTTTTTTTAATAGGTTAGTTAAATAATAACATTTACCAAATTAAAATATGTAAATATAACAAATTATTTATGAATAATTTAATTATAATATTTTTATTGTTGTTACTTAATATAGACTGATATTATTCAAAATTATTACTCCAAAGTAATATTAATATAAAATTTAATATCTATTAAAAGCAATGTTAAGGATATTTTTAAATAATTAAAAATAAATGATGATAAACATGTAAATTTAGTATTGCTTAATTCAAAGATTTCCAAACTTTATTTTACAACAAATATTGGTGACTCGTAACTCATTAGTGTATTTTATTATCCCTATTCTTGTAATAAATTATAGCCATGCAATGTTGTGGTGATAAATTGTTCTGTATTATTTATAACTAGTATAGGTAACTACCAATGATGTAAACTAAATTTGAACATTACATGTGGTTTCAGTATATCATATGCTCATAGGTGTTGGGTGGTCAAATTTTTTTGGGAGAGAGGGGCTGTAACCCTCTTAGTGGTAGACATGTACTGACTTGTGGAGGGCTTCATCTGCTTTTTGTGGGAGGCCATTTTTTGAACTAGGGGGCTAAGTCTCCCCTAATATGCCTATGCATATGCTTTAATACTTATATTTAAAATAAAACCTTTGTTTTAAGTATATCCATTTAATAATAGTTTAAAATAATTTACTCAATATACTGGATAAAATAAAAATACTTTTAAATTATTTTTTATTTGTTTCAGTTGAGTATCAGATGTTGTACAGCTTTTATCAAAAATGTTTAGAAAGGCAACGGCATTTATTGCCTTAATAGCCTTTGCAACTACAGTAAAATGTGACATTAGTATATATACTAGAGATCAGCAACAGCTAGATTTAGAGTTTAAAGATGCGCAGTCTCTTTTTGGACCAAATATACCTTCAGATGGCATTAAAGTATTTCAGTTTTTAAATATACTTAAAATCTAAGTAAATATTTACTTTAAATTTTAAAATTGTTTAAGGGTTACATTTTGAGTGCTGAACCTGAAGATGGCTGTACTAAAATTGAATCTCCGCCTAAAAGTGGAAGTTGGTTTGTCTTAATTAAGAGAGGAAATTGTAATTTTGATGTAAAAGTTAGGAATGCTCAAAATAGCAATTATACATTAGCTATTATATTCAATGTCAACTCTAGTGCTGTTGGTAAGTAATCATAATTTAAATATTAAATTATTTAACACTAATAAGTTAGTATTTACTATTATTGAAAATTTAATTACATTATGTTATTTTAAGATATTGTGTTTAATTCATGATGGATTAACAGATTTAAAAAAAAATACATATTTAATATACTTTAATTTGTTTTTTTTGAATTTTATTTAAATATTAATTCGTTTTTACTTTTTTTAAATTAGTGCCAATGAATGGTAAAAATACAAGTGATATAGTAATTCCGTCAGTTTTTGTTGGTGAAAGTACTGGACTTATGTTGAGAGACTACTATGATTATCAAAATGGGTAATAATTATAAAATTTTAATTAATAAAAATTAATATTTTTCATTTAAAGAACAAAATATTTTATGTAATCAAATAAATTTCTTTATAATTAAAAATTTAATTCAGTTTTATTATATTAGGCAAAGTCTAATTCTACATTTTTTCTTTTATATAAAAGTAACTTAAAAGTATTTAATTACTAATATTTTAATGCTATTAAAACATTAGAAGAAAAAGATTTTATATTAAAATTTAATAAATACATTAGTTTTCTTAATTTTATAAAAAAAAATTGAATTTGTTAAATTATATATAATAGCAGAAAATCTTGCAGGAAAAATAGTTGCTATAATATGTACGCCTGATTATTATTAATGTTTTATATTGTTAATTAATTATTGCCTTAAGACCATTTTTTTGTTACTTTATATTTTAATAAAAAATCTGTTGCTTCAATTACAATAATTTAAATATCAATCAATCATAGAACATTTAGTTGAATAGCGCAGGGCTGTTTTTGAGGATTTTTAGTGTAAGTTTTTGTAATCAATTATTAAAAATAAATAATTAAAATATTTTATACTTAGAGTAATTCTATGTAATTATCATTGTTAGTTAAAAATAAAATTATATTTAAAAACTACTTTTTCCTATTTAAGTTTTACATGAAATAGTCATTATTTAGAAATCAAACTTAAGTAATATTAAAACTAGAGGATGCATTATTATATTATATTGTTGTTGGTTTAGTTTGTACCATCTTTTATCAGAATTATTTGTAAAAAAGATAATTGACTTCTTTAATATTTAAGTTTTAAAATAAAACATTGGCTCTTGAAAACTGAATATTTTTCATATCAGAATAAATATTTAATGTTTTCAGTTGACTCCATTATTACAGTCTTAATATACATCATCTGTGTCAAACAATATTTTTTATTATAAATATAATTCTTATTTAGTTCAATTTAAATAATAAAAACATATCTATAAATATATATTCATTTTTTTTTTTTTTTTTAGCTATTATGTGATTATAGACAACAGTCAATTTCCATTCGATATAAACTTGAATTTATTGTTGCCATTTGCTGTAATTGTTGCGGTATGTTTCTTCGCAATGCTTGGGTTTATGGTAATATATATTTATAAGCTCTGTCCTAGATAGATAAAAATTGTTTATTATTATAATAAGTGCAATTAGTATCACACATAATATAAATAGCCAATACAAATAAATAAGCTTATTCAGTAGGATTTATTATCTATAATAAATAAATTATAATAAAGCATTTCTTTAATTATTAATATTTAATTGTACTAAAGAGTTGATTTTAAGTTTTTTCAGCAATTTTATTTAATTGGAAGTTTGTGAATATTTATTGTCTTGTTTTCTTAATTTTTTGACTATAACGTTTGAATGCTGATCTTCAGTATTATATTTATTAAGGTCCAAAATTTATTTTTATGTATTTTATTATTAAAATAATTAAACATCTAATTTTAATCAAATATTTTGGTATTCAATTTTAACATTTAATTTTATTTGTTTATTTAAAATTACTATGTCTCAGTTTATTACATCATAAAATTAATATGAAAACTTTTAAACATAAAACATCCAAAAAATTATTGTTTGATTAGCTATTGATGATATTAAAATTACAAATAATCAACAGTTAATTAAATGGATTAAAGACCGAAGACGAGCATTTAGACATCGATTACCTGCATCTATTCTTCGTAAAATTCCGATCTCAACATTTGTAAAAGGTGATCCGTATGATACTTGTGCCATATGTTTAGATGATTATATGGATGGAGACAAATTAAGAATTTTGCCATGTGCTCATGGTAAGTATATAATTATTTATTTATACATTTTATGTTTGTTATAAAAAAATTATTTCATTAAATGTTTACAGCTTATCACTGTAAATGTATTGATCCATGGTTAACACGTAACCGACGATTTTGCCCTATTTGTAAACGTAGGGTTTATGGCAATAATGAAGATCTACACTCTGTGGCATATTCTTCAGATACTGATAGTGATGAGCCCAATGATAGAACTCCATTAGTTACACCTGGTGTTAATAATTCAAATTCATTGGGTGTTGGTACATTCCGTAGTTTCAGAGTACGTACTATTATTTTTCTGTTAACATACAATGTTTCATTAGTGTTTTTTTCAGGGACGTGTGTTTACTCGTGGTAGATCTGCTAACACTGTTCCTGTGCATCCTCCAGTTTTATCTTCAATAAATGTAGCAAATGTAGACTATGACACAGTTTCATCTCAAACAGATACATCAGACTCAATGTTATCAGATTATCAAAATCTTTACGACGCACCGGCTCACCAATCAGTTTCGGAATCCATGTCAAGTAAGTGAAAAAATAAATTAATTTTACTATATATTGAACATTTATGTGTTTATCACAGATTCAGTGAATAATTTGGCACCAGAACTGATGAACAACACAGAACCAAGTAGAACAAATGTGCAGAACCATATCGTTTAAACCACTTAATAACAAACAGCCTAAAATATTTGATTTTTTTTATTGGACTTAATTTATAATATATTGCTTTTAAATAGAAACGAAATATGATTTATTTTTCTTAATCAAAATGTTGTATTTTAGGTCTATTTTATTACAATAAGTTTTTTAATAATTTACATTAACTTTAGCAATGAATATATACAATTAAAGTAACTTAGACAAAAAAAAAAAACTACAGACTGTCAAAATGTTTTCAATTAAATATTGTTCTCACTCTATTAATAATAATTTTCATATATACTTAAAGTTATTTTAATTATTTGTTTTCTGATATTAGTAAAAAAAAATAAATAATTATTAATTCAACATGTGATAATTGTTATGATTATAATTTATAAAATATAGTTTTGTTATTAGTATTGATATATGTTAAAAAAAAAAATACTATACATCTAATAAATGTATTTGTAACTTAAATATTCATTTATTTTGATTAGTTGACATTATCAGATGTACATTGTATAATGTTCTATCAATCATATATTTACTTATGTATATACTTTTTTTTTGTTGTGGTATTTTAAATAAGCTTGTCAGAATACCCATTAAAAATATATATTTTCTGTGAAAGAATATTGTATTTGGTTAAATAGTTTTAATGTACCTGCAAGAATGATATATAATTCATTTAAGATTATGTTTTGTTTTTATATTATTTTTTCATTATATTTTTAAATATTTAAATATTTTTTATATCATATATTATTATTTACATTCTCCTTAAGTTGTATTTGTGTATGATATAAAATAATGTACAGCATGTATTAAACAACTTGAATACATTATTTAAATCGAGAGCTACTTTGATACATTTAGCTTAAATAATTTATTACTCTTGCAATTTTGTATAGTTATCCACCTATATCTAATACTCAAAAACTAACACTAAAAATTATAAATACTTAACATTTTAAAAATAAAGAAAACTTTGTTTTTTACTTAAATTTATAATTACTGACAAGAGCACAAACATATAAAAACATGCTTTATAAAATCAATTAATTCTCATTTTAGTGTTTACTTTTTAAAATGCTACAAATACGTTATTCAATTACCAAATAAAAAACTATTTTTAGTATCAAGGACGAATTAAGTTTCTCTTCAAACATATTTACATATATTTTATTTATTATTTAATAATCGCTTGTTATGTATTACTTAGTACATCTAGAGATAAAACTATAATGTTAATAAATCCTCATTTTCATTATATCATTATTCTATTTTATAGATTTTCATAAATTGTTATCTTTATACTGAGAAGTGTTCATGGGTGCTCATTCTCTTCAAACAGTTATTAAAAAAATAAAAATGTTATACTCGAACATTGCTGTTCTCGGAGAATCTAACTTATAATTATATTGACTTAAGTACTAAAATATTCGACACAATGAAGTTTTGGAGATAAATCTGTCATGATTTTATATTTATGTAAATTTAATATAATTTACATAGATACTATAGATAATATAGATTCTAACTAATTTAAATTATGGTTCGCACTTGTATTTATTCAAAAAATATTTATTTTTAAATACATTGTCTCTAAAATTAGGTAACTACATAATATATAATATATTACATATATTTATATATCATGTTTAATAGTGATATATAAAATAATATTCAAAATTTCTTTACTAAATAATTTTTTTTTATTGATTATGAAGTATACAAAGTATACAATCTATATAATTGTTGACCTGGATGTTTGTGTACTGGAGATTTGGGGGAAATTTTACCAAGTACTTATTCTTGGCTTGTTATCTTCTAATGATTAACACTAATCGTGTTATTTTTAGATTAAAAACTAATTTAAATCAAGTATAAAAATAATAGTATAATATCATTAACAAAATGTAAAAATCTTATGTTAGAATCTAATAAATAATAATACAAATTTTAATAATTATAATGATAATTTTATGAGCTGTTTGAGCCTTTGTTTGATTATATAATAATAATTTCTTAGTCTTTTTTTAGTGGCATTATAAAAATACTAGGTCTCCTAAATTAGATGTAACTGAGGGACCTGGAAGTCATAGCCTAAATGTGCCATTGAGTTCGATGCTGGTAAACACGTATCTATTTATGAGGGTTGAATAGGTACATACTTATCAACTCGTTAAAATAATGTTTACATATATTTCAATTTACAAAATTTTAATACACATTATGTTACAATTTTTTTGTATTTTTAATCCTTTTAAGTCATGAGATAATTTCCAATGATCAATTAAGATTTATTTTAAAACTATTAAATTTAGTTATTACTTACTCCTAATCGTCTTACATTTAGAATGGATCTTAGGGTGACTGTACATAATATATGTTTTATTAGAAGTTTGCGCTGTATTAGCTTTGTACTAAAGGGTAATTTTAAGTTAGGGTTGAGAAATCGTTTGAAGTTGGAAAAACAAATATTACTAGGGTTAATTTTTAAATGGTTAATTTATCTTGATTGCGTATTAAACTTTATTCATGTAAGACATTAATAATCAATAAACATAGTTAATACTAAATATATATATAGATAATAAAATGTGTAAGGTTAGATATCTAAATTATTCATTTTTATTATTTTTTTAGAATTATAAGGAAATATGGTAAGTGAAGATACAAGTGAAACTTTTAAAGAAAGAAGCTATCCAATAGTGATACTACCTATGAATGTAGTATATTAAATGTTTATTTTATGGTTTTTTTAAATATTGGGATAAAACATAAAACCACAACTTCTTAACAAAGTAGTCCATTTATGACTAGAAATGGACTAGACTTCGATGAACAATAAAAGTATAGAAAGTACTTATCCACCTAAATAACGAATATTCTGTACACCTACTTTAATAGTAGATATTGTGCTTTTAACTATTTTTGGATTGTTATATGATATGATCCTAGCATATAAGTTTCAATAAATCTTAAATCTTAAATTTAAAATAAACAAATATTTGAAATTATATATAGGTAAAAATGAGAATTTTAAATAGGTTTGTATAAATAAACGATTTATTATACAGGCTCAATGTCTGTTGACGAAAACAAAAGATTTTCTGAATGTATAAAAATCCAAGAATCAAGAAAATGATAATTCCTTTCTAAATTTAGCTCCAAATCAATCTCTAATAAATATTACTTATTCTTACCTGCATAATAATATACCATCCATTGGAGATTAGTTTAAGTCTGAACTCTGAAGGCGAGACAGAGACGTTAGACGTCGTTGTGTGCGGTCACCTCTTCTCAAACCAAATCGTATATATTTAGGACTATTTGTGTGCGTGTTATTGAAAGCACAAATAGCAATATCTATAAATAATTTAGTATTAAAGAAAATACTCAATTTCAATTTTTAAGGTCTATTTGTAAATTGGTGATACGAGATTATTACGCCTCGACACCATGGTGACATGGTATAATTTTCTATTTATTATTAAAAATTTTATGACATAAACCACTGGTTGTTGTGGCCCTAAATTGCCTACACAAAGCGCCGTCACTTACGATTTTATGACATAAATAATATTATAGAATTTGATTAATGATTTTTAAGTGTTTTTACTTTCTTCTAAAATAATAAAATATGGACTTGTTATTACTTAAATTAATTTATTGGAGGAAATTTGAAGGTAATGTACTCCTTTTGAATTTTCTCAACTGATTGAAAAACTATTGCGATATTTTGTTTTTTGAATATATTGTCATTTTAGAAGTATTTGTGAAGAATATCTTCTTAATTAATGTGGTAAATATTTTGATTGGAAATAATTCTCATTTTTTATTTTTCCCACATAAATGATACTCTTTCCCAACTAATCCACCTGTTATTATTTAATAAATAAATTAAAAAAATATGTAGAAAACATCTTTGATTACTACGATAATGTAGGAATAATCTACAATTCTATATACATGATATGCCAATATATGCGCCTATTAAACAAGGAAACGAAAAATAATATTTTCAATCATATTTTATTATGAAATTATAACAATTACATTTTTTCTTAGAGCAATGATATATTTATATATTTTTAATGGCATTTAGAATTTTTGTTTATTGAAATTAATATTAATCTATATTGTTATAGCTATCAATTGAATGTGATTTTTATTGAGCAGATACAATCAATGTAAAATTGTTTTAAATGTGGTTAGGATTATAGTGTTAAGGGTAGGCAAATTACATTTCTCAGCGGCTGGTCAAATACCGTGGATCAAATACTGAATATTTAAGTGTGCTGTACGCGCATGCGTATGTATTCGTACGGCGACCTTGGTGTACCCACAGTGATGTTTAAACAACATAAAGAGTTCACGGACTATCGGATTATCTTATCACACAATATCCTATCATGATAAGATCGATATGGCGCTAAGCAGTAAACATTGCTTTTGAAATTTAAATTATAATACGCTTACTTAATATATTCTATTTTAACATTGAAAAATTTACATTTAAGTACAATATTTTAAGTCACGCGCGTACTTCGAGGTGCGTATTTTTGGAACTATTTTTTTTTGTTTTGCAAAAATTGCAAGAATTGTAAATAACACGATAAACGGCGTCATTGGCATTTAGCAACCCTCCCACAGTTCGTAAGAAATAGAAATCGGAATGGGAAGACATCGCAAATTCTCAACCACAAAACAGCGGTCTTCGAGAGTGCGTCCAAATCACCGCTAGATTACGTCGTTTTCGGTCAGAAATATCCTTACCTTCTCACTAGTTGGTTGTTCGCGAAATTCTTGAACTCCCCACTCCACCCTCTCAACGATACCAAATGTTCAGAGAACAACAATAGTAATAGTAATAATAATAATTCGGCGTATTGCGCGGTTTGTATAGTGCGCGCGCACAACGATAGTGTTTATGGCCGTGTGCGCGTGCGCACGTTTTTATGTGCGAGTGAGTGCGCGCGCGTGTGACAATAATATTATTGCCGTAGCGTCGTGACAGTGTGTGAGTGCGCGCGCATCGAACATCACCGTCGTGTTAGCCTGGTCAAAATAACTTTGTAGCGTTCTACACACTGCTACACGT